AGTGTCTGGGAAGCTTGAGCTGGCTTAATGGTTAGCTCAGTAAAGTTTATAATGATATATTCAAAAGCAGTGGTTGGTTTAACATTAACTTCCAAGATTTGCATTGGAGAGTTGATAGAAGAATCTTCAAGCCTAGCCTCAAAGGAAGGATTTTCAGTCCTTTAATCAAGCTTAGGGAGGCCTCAAGGCTGGTGGGGGTTGGCTCTTCCTCTTGTTCTCTCATTTAAAAAGTGGCGGGATGAACTTCATTAGCCATGGGTATTTGCTCTTTTGGGTTTTGTGTTTTAGCTTTAGCCCAAGTCTCAGCCATTGAAGAGGAAACACCATCTTGTCGACAAAACCTCTATCACTGAAGTTGAAGAGATGCACTATCACTACTTGAAGATTCAGAGCTGGAGTAGTGATAAGCTCTGACTTCATCATCCTCAAGAGGAACAAATTGCAGAGGGGGAACAAACATAACAGTTGCAGCATAATGTGGCATCTTGGCAACTATTTCTACTATAGAAGGGATAAATGTGTCTTCTTGTTAGGGGTTCTGATCAGAAGATAGAGGAGCAGAGTCCCTAGAGGGAGTCACTAGTAACTTTCTCATTTTCGGATAGAAAAAAAAAATAAAAAGGAAGAGAGAAAGGAGTTTAGCAAACTTTGCTAGAAGGGAAATGATGGGAACATTGTCCTCATCAAAAGAACGGATTGTCTTGGAGGTATCAGCATAAGCTATTGTGGATGGAACAGCCTCATAGAATAGTGTTTGCTTTACCAAAGATAGGTCTTCAAGAACAAATTTGTTTTCTTCAAGAGTGAGGTTGTCCACATCAAAATCTTGGCCAGTCTCTGTGTTTGTGCTAGTTTTGCTAGCCTTTTTTAAGGTAGCGGTGCCTTGGAATAAGAGGGGTTTTGTTTGGCTTTCTTTCTCTTAGATTCTGCATCATAGGCTTTAAAGGTAGAAGCCATGAAGGAGTCATCTAGGGAATTCCTTCTCCTTTAGGTTTCTTGGCATAGACCTTGGGGGTTTTGTCTTTAACTTTACTAGAGGTCTTAGCCAACAAAGGAGGCAGTAAGTAAGGAATATTAGCAGCACCAATCTCTCATGGAGTATCAGTTATTAAAAAATGCGAGACTATAAGCATAAATAATAAGATCCAATAAACAACAAATAAGAAGGAAAAGAAAGAGACCACGAGTAATTTACAAATTTGGCTCTGTCGATGGGAAAGAGAAAGGCAGGATTGGTATTCCTCTAGTGACTTGTGGAATATGACCGCACTGGGAATGGTCGACCAGTACCTAAATCTGTTACTAATGCTTGCACTAACTACAAAGGCAAATAAACTAGGCTTATGAAAAAGTTTATGGTTTTCTATCAAAGTAGTCTAAGCATAAGGCTGCTCAGTGAATTGGACCCTGGCGTTCACATACTCATGTATGGTAAGATGGACATAAGGGAGAGGAATGCTTTGGATGAGACCAAATGTCTAGCCTGTTGACTGGGATTGTAACTTTCAAAACCATAGGTAGAATGTTTGTTGTTGGAAATAGAGCATCTAACCAAGATGTACCTAAGGGTGAGGCAAATGCTTCAAATTATCTTTTGAGCTTGCCTAAGTTCATCATTTAAAGAGGTATGATCAACGTGCATATAAGACAAAGAAACAAAAAGAAGAAGAAGGATTGAAAATAAAGGGAAGGAATCTTGTTGATGGTGAAGCTAAGAAAGATGGAGAAATACTGGGCAAAAGTAATAGTAGGAGAAAGATGGTAGGAAAGAAAGAACTCAACATAGGTTTCACAATTGGGTGTATAGTCTATTCTCCAATTGGATCTGATCTCTGGGAAATAAGTAAGAAGCCAAGCTTGAAAAAGCCAAAAAGGGTCCCCTACACTATGGTTTATACTTAGTTAATTGGTCGACGACTACTCAAACTACATCATTACCCCATTGAGTATTCAGAAGACCTACCACAAAATCTATAGTAACATGTTCCCACTTCCATTCTACTATAGGTAAGGGCTGCAATAAACTTGCTGGTCTTTGGTGGCAAGCTGGGCTTGTGTAGAGCTTGGACAAAAAATGTGAGTTAGGCGCTACCCAACTGGCTCGATCATGGCAGGCAATAGGGACAAAGCTATCAAGGGATCAACGGGGAGGGAAGATCTTCAATGGAAAAATAGAGAAGGGTTTGTCGCCAATTTTGGTGGAGAGGCATGAAAAGAGATGTAGTCTTATTCGTTTCAAGGTACTTTACTTGCCAACAAGTGAAAGCCGAACATGACTTCTAACTTCAAAAAATTGCATAAAGCCTTGTTTATTTTGCTCAAATTAATCCACAAAAAGACTTACTAGATAGATTTGAATACAAATGTATCTGAATTTATTCATTCCATTTGTTTATTTTTTTTAAAAAGTATTTTTTATTTTTTTGATTTTATGTGTTTAGTAAAAAAAAATTATATTTTGATTAATTATTTTTATAATAAATTTGTAGACTTAGGTAATCTAGATACACTTCAAATGTAAAATATTTATGAAAAATTTAAATTTTTTTTTACTAACTATATATACAAAAATGTAATAATGTTTGTATTCAAGAATTCTTAAATTTGTTTTGCAAAACTTTTTAAGTGAATTAGATTAAGTAAATATAAAATAAAAAATAATTAAAATATAAAAAATTACAAAAATAGAAAATACAAAAAATGAAAAATTCAAATACAAAATTTTGAGTCTAAAATATAAATTCACTTATTTATTTTTTATTTTTTTTATATATATGGAAAAAAAAAAGACTTTAAGGGTTCATTTGGGATGTGGGTTGATTTTTTTTATTTTTTTAGCCTAGGATTAAAAAGCCTTGTTTGTGATATGCTTTTTTTTTTATTATTTTTTTAAGAGAAAAAAATGAAATGATTATAATTTGGATGTGACATTTTGTCTTATTGGGCTAAAAAACCTATTTTGTCTTTTTGTGGCTATTTTAGCCTTTTGGTTGTGACATTTTATTTTATTAAAGAATTGTTTGGGATGTTCTAAATAAATGTACTTTTTAACTTTTTATGAAATATGGGTTGGATTTGAAGTGATATGATAGAGAGATGATGTGACTTAAATAAGATAATGTGACTTAAATAGGATAGTGACTTTTTAACTTTTTATCTTTTTTTAAATATGTCAAACTTGACCTAAGTTAAAAAGTTTATTTTGTCTTTAGCCAAAAAAAAACCGTCGTTTAGCTTATGCCAAGCAAGGGCTTACGCTATAAGTTCAATTTCAAAACTTTTGAATCCAAAACTCTATTCTTTTGGGTACTTATTTATCTATTTGTTCATATATCATCTATTATTTGTCCATGTATTACTTAAGCCTCGTTTGGGAAGTGACTATTTTAGTAGACTATTTTAGTTTTTAGCTATTTTAAGTAGGCTAAAATTTTTGTGTTTGAGAAGATGATTGGATTTTTTTGTGGTTGGATGTGATGTTTGTGAGAGAAAAAGTGAAATGATTATGGGTTTGATGTGATATTTTGTCTTATCAGTTATTTTAACCTATTTTATCTTTTTGTGATTTTTACCCTAAATTTGACTATTTTTTTTTTCCCCAAAGCCGCCTTAACCTATCTATCTGTTTATATGACTATCATGACTAGTCACTGTCCATGACTTTTCTAGCATATTTTCGGAGCTAGCAATGGTTTGATAGTGAAGTAAGAATGAAAAATAAATTTAAAATAATTTCATTAATTATATTTTTATTATAAAAAAGATTTTATTCTTGGAGTTCTTTTAAGAAGAGTTAAAAAGTTAAAAGTCAACTTTTAATTTATTTTAGATCACATAATCTCTTATATTTTTTATACATTTAAAAAAAAAAAGTTAAAAAATAAAAAATTAATTTTTAACCATAAATAGGCCATAATGTCATATCCTATTAGAAATAGATTTATTATTAATAAATAAAATTAAAAAAAGTCACTGTGTTTGGTTTAAGTTTTTTAGATTAAGTTTTTTGAAAATTGAGTTTTTTGATTTTTGTGTTTTTTTGTTTTTAGTAAATATTTTTAAAATTTTAAACATTTTTTTTACTTTTTTAGATGCACCTTACTTAGAGTATCTCCAACGGTTACTCAGATTTTTCATCAAATTTGAGTAAAAAATGACTCATTTTATCAATTTGATACCACTTGCTCCAACGGTGTACTTTCATCAAATTTGTACCAGGGGCAACCGGTTGGTCGACCGGTTAAGCGAAATTTTTTTTTTTTTTTTTTTGAACTTTTTGACCCTTTTAGTGGTCGCCCGGCTGGTCAACCGGCTGGTCGAGGCAAAAAAAAATTTTTTTTTTTTTTTTTTTTCTGTTTGAACCTTTTTTTTCGAACCGTTTGAACCTTTAGGCGGTCAACCGGTTGGTCAACCGGCCGGGCAACCGGCTGGTTGACCGGTTGGTCTCTCCCAACGGTTAGGAACAGTGATTTGGTAAAATGCTTCGCCTGTTCTCATTTTGGTACAAGATTTGCTGAATTCTGGATTTGATATCGATTTGGTGAAACCGTTGGAGCTCAAAAAAGTGGCTTTTTCATCAAATTTTGAATTTGATATCAGGTTTGCTGAATCGTTGGAGATGGTCTTAGACGTGTCTAAAAAGTAAAAAAATTGTGAAAAAATATTTTAAAAAATTAAGAAATACGTAAAAATACAAAAAATGTATTAAATTATTGTATTTTTTTTTATATTTTTGGTATTTAGTAAATTTTTAAAAGATTTTTTTTTACAATTTTTTTATTTTTTAAATGTATTTATGTTAGGTGTGTCTAAAAAATAAAAAATTTGCATAAAATATTAAAAAAATTCAATAAAAACAAAAAAATATGAAAAATAAAAGTGTACAATTTTCTAAAAATTGTTTTTAAAAAATGAAAACAAAACAAAGTGAGTGATGTTTTTGGCAAAAAAATTTTGCCAAAAAAGGCGTCATGCGTGGGCGTAATCAACAACTCACATAGCGCCTAATCCCCAAAAATTCGAACATTTGCCGCCTAAAAACACCACCTCCTTCCCTCTCTTACGTTTCACATCTCTCTCCCTTGGATCCACATCCCATAGATCCACTTGTTACCCTCCATCTAACCCTAGCTCTCCTTCAGTCCAGATATGGAGAGCGACGACGATTATGATTTGTTCTCACTTCCCCAAGAACCCTCGCCTTCACTCCATCACCGAAAGCTCAAACGCTTGAAGAAAGCAATTCATGTCTCAATCGATCCCCCAGTCGAATCGGCAGAGAAAGTCGCTTCATCGCCGCCAGTCGATTCCTTCGAATCGCAAGCTCCGGAATCTTCCGAAACCAAGGGTTCCGAGGGTCTTGAAGTTGACAATGAGTTGAATTCTGTAATTGATGATTTGCATTCCCGTGAAGATCGTAAGAAAACTAAGAGGGTTTTGGATTTTGATGTTGTGGATGAAGAATTTGATGGGAAAATGCCTGATCAAATTGGTGGAATGGAAGAGAATTTTGCGGATTTGAATATGGAGAGGTCTGAGAAGAAACGAGTTAACGAAGAAGATTCGAGTGAAGATAAAGAGAAGAAAAAGAAGAGAGTTAAGAGTGGTGGTGATGGTGTGAAGCTCAAAACATCCAGAAGACGAGAAGAAAAGGTAGTTTGCTCTGAATTTTCTTATTCGTGCTTCATTTTTTCCCCAATAATAGTTTGCTGATTTACTTAACCCTGATTTCCAGGAAAGGAAAAACTATCTGCAGCAGCTTCATGTCGAGTCTCAGAGACTCTTGCGAGGTATACATATTTCATTTACAACCTAGAATCTAAGGTTCCGTTTGTATTTAGGGATCTGAAATGCATGGATTTGACATTAATCATTAAAGGAAAATAGATTAAATTTAGATTTGATAGTTTAGCCATGGATTTCAAGATTGAATTGTATAACTTTACCATGATGAATTTAAAATAATTATTTGAAATCGTTGCTGAGGATTTTCCTTACAGTTGTAAGGATCCAACTAAAATACAGATTTAGGAGGTGTTTGGGAAGAAACTTTTTTGGCTTTTTTGGCTAAAATAACACTAAAAGACAAAATAGGCTAAAATAGCCAATAAGACAAAATGTCACATTAAATCTATAATCATTTTACTTTTTCTTTCACAAACATCACATCTAACTACAAAAAAATCCAACTATCTTTTCAAATATAAAAATTTTAATCTCTTAAAATAATCAAAAATTAAAATAGCCTACTAAAATAGCAGCTTCCCAAACACTCACTTTATATCTTGACTTATCTTATTCTATAATTGTTCTATTCACGGGCAATAACTAACTCTCTAGATTTCCTGTGAAATTCAACTTCAAATCCCATAATTTGAAATCCATATCCATTCAAATGGACCCTAATATTATTGAAATTGTATTTATCACATCATTCAGTTTACTTCTACATGTATTTATGTTTGCATTGGATTTTATTTTTTGTAGAAACTAGAGATGCCACCTTTAAACCTATACCAATTGTACAAAAACCTATATCATCAGTCTTGGAGAAGATTCGGCAAAGGAAACTTGAGGTGATGAAGAAGTGAGTAATTTCAATATTTGGCTTTGCCTTTGAATTCATTGACTTTATTTGCTTTTATTTTTCTAAATTTGTGATTACATATTTTCAGGGTCAGAACAGTTAGTTTATATGATAATTGTTCTGTTGATGAGGACAATGGTACTGTGAAGGAAGTTATAACGGATCATGATTCAGAAAATGTCCTCACTGAAGAGAAAGAAGTTTATAAATTTGCAGAAGTGGTAGTGGTGCAAGAGGAGACAACTGCATGTCATGTTGATGTAGAGAGTAGCTTAGATGCTTCCTGTGTGAATGAATCTAAGGAAGCTGCAAGACAATCAAGTCATGAAAATAGTCCTTACCAAATGGTAACTCAGATGGCAAATTTATATTTGTGTTGAATTTCAAACTTCTTGTGCAGTTGCTCTTATGTTAATTTCATAGATGTGATAATACTATGTTGATCAAATCAAATGGGATTTGTGGTACATGTTACATTGCTGAATTTGACACTTTCATGATTCACAGTTTTGCAATTGTTTTTCATCAAAACCTTGTAATGGAAATTAGAAGAGTAGGAACGTATGCAGATTCTGCATTAAGGACTCATGATGAAAATAACTGAGCAGAAACATAGTATATTCTTTGTGGAAAAGAAATGAGGCGGATTTCCCATATCAACTTACTCTTGCTTCTTTATAAGTGCAGGCTGTGGATGAACAATCAATGCCTGCATTTCGAGCTCCAGTTGATGATACTCAGGTTTTTTTACTCGCATCTTTTATGTTTGGAAGGAAATTGCTATTTCTGCAAGAGGTTGCAAGAGGTTGCAGATGCATAAATTATTGCTCATTGTTTGTGTGTTGTAGGATCTGTTCTGTGATTCCGAAACAAGTGAAGGGAAAGATCCGATGTTTAATGATGACAATGATAGTCCTTTGGAGGAAGTTTTAGCACCATCTTTCCTTGCAATGAACTTGAAGTTTGATTCTGCTCCTCCTGATGACATGTGAGAGTTTAAAAACTTCCAATCTTGTAGGTTTAGGATGTGATTTCATTGATTTTTGAAGTTTCTAAATTATTGATCTGTCACCTTACTGAACTGTCATGCATCAAAACTACTTAAAAGTAAATGCCGTAGCTGCAAGCAAAAGGTTTATTTGCTCGTTATTTTGGGGTGTAAATGAAGTCCATCTCTCATCTCGTGAAAATTATATAAATGGTTGGTTTTTTTTTTTTTTTTGAACAGTTCTTCTGATGAAGAGGACAATGACAAGGAGAAAATTGATCCAGAACCCGAAACAGCTGATAAAGGAAGCTCTTCTCCAAAAGGTGATCCTGTTAAAGCTTTTGTTGATGATGAAGCTGTGGAAGAAGATGACAGCGACAATGATCTATTGCACTTCCAAGAAAATGAAGAAGATGAGGAAAATGAAGATTATGAGGAACTTAAGGATATGATAGCAACTCAGTATGATGAGAAGCAAATTGATATTGAAAGGCGCAATGAACTTCATCAGAAGTGGCTGGAGCAACAGGATACAACTGGTACAGATCATCTTCTGCAGAGACTGAAATGCGGACCGAAACTTAAAGACACAACTTTGCTTGAAGAGGAGGAAGAAGAAGAAGAAGAAGACGAGGATCAACGGGAATCTTGTGATGAAGCTGCAGAAGACCCTGTAAAAACAAGTATAGCTCGGATCAATTCAAGAAAAGCAAAGCAAATGATTCCTCACATTTTTTCTGATAAAAATGATGGCTACGTATCATCTGATGGTGAGGAGACAGAGAGGAGGCTAGTTAAACAGCGCCTTCTAGACAAAGCTGTGAGATGTTTCTATTTTTAGTTTCATATATAGAAATACATTTTACAATTTTGCTTCATGGGATGGATAATACTATGTTCTATTATTTGGTTCCTTCAGTTTGTTCTATAAACACTTGCTGAACTTCATAACCTCAAATGAACAGGAAGAGCAGGGTGTATTGTTATCCCCGGGCAAGGATGAGAGCTCTAGAGAAGTATTTGGTCTCATAAAGAAGTTGAATATCGTGCCTGATGCCAAGAAGAAAGCAAGGACATCATGTGAGATGTTTCTGCATATAGTTCACCGGTATTGTAGAATTATAATATTTCATTGGTTGTTGCTTACTAACATTTGTCACTATTTTGCAGCATTTTTTGATAAGATGCTAACAGGAGGAAATAACAACGGCTCTTCAAAGGTAAAATAATCTTCACATGTTTGGAAAATGATATGAAGGGTGGTGGTGGTATCTTGGATTACTCCAATGCATCAATTTGTTTTAGAAAAGAACTAGATAAAATGATGAATTAATTGAAACTCAAACTTAAATTTTTGATTGTGACAGCCACTTTTAATACCTCCTGCCATCACTGTTATGAGTCAAAGCATTTCTTCTCTATCTTTCCACCCAATCAAGTTATATGTGCTTGTTGGGGAAAATCACTAATGGGAGAAATTTTGAATGAGTTGGAGTGGCTTTCCCTTGCAAGTCTCTCGTGTATTTATGTCCTAGCAGACTTTTGATGGGACCACACATGCCTATTGCTCATTTTCCAAGATTGTGGGTTGTTAATGAATATCCAGTTCTGCTATAAAGCCTATTATTCCATTTTATTGTTGGGAACTCCTCTCGTCATACATAAGACAATTCATATCAGGTGGCATAATATAAACTAAATAAATTTGGACCATAATTGGTACCCTAGATCTAGCATAATCCACAAGTTCCATTCATGATAGAAGTGGTTGGTCATTGTCTGCTAGACCAGGTTTGGCAAGCAACAATGGCTTATTGAAGTTAAGCTGAATATGCAGATACGTTTTGTTATTTGTCATGGCAGCTAGATATTTCCATTTAGTTTGTTTTAGGCGTCAAAGTTTTAGTTCTGTAGCCTGACTAACTTTTCTATTGATCAATTTTGTAGTCAACTTTCCTTGGTCGAGGACCAAGCCATTCTCTTCCATCATCCCACAAGCAAGGAAAAGGCAAGGTTCGATCTTTCATTTTTGGAAGAGATGACAGTAATAGCAGGAGTTCAATCTCAATGTCAGAGGATTCTTCTGATGCGGTAAGCTTTATAGAAAGAACAATAAATATTTATACTCTATCTGTTCTGTATTTTTATCCACTATTCCATTTTATATGCCCCAAAGGTATATCCATTTTGAAAGGTCAAGGTAACTTTCTGGTTTTCCAAATTTTTCAATGTCATCCTTTTTAAACAAGTGTAAATACATCTGAGAGTGAAATAGAGGGATAGTTTGAAAATTAGTATGCTATTAGTTGGTGAAAACTCATAAATATTTGTCTCTTTAAAAAGATGGGTTTTGTACGGTGGACAAAAAATATGGGACAGAGTGTGATACTTGTTACATGCTGTCATTTCAAGACTCGACAGTAACCAATTAATAGATAGCATAATTGCCTTCCAGGATAGCTGCCTGTAAATTGTTTGTAGAAGTATTCATCTTCCAACTATTAGTATTGTTGTTTTGCCATGCATTCCATTTTCCACTTGGATGTTGAGGTTTATTGGTCTTAATCTTCTGTTTCATTTACCATTGAAACAGCACTTTCTTCTCATCCTGCTAAGCCAAATAATAATTTCCGTGATGGTTATATTTTTGTTAAACATGCAGATTCCAAGAGAAAATCGACCAGCAAGGAACGCTACGACTAAGTTCAGTAGCTCACAATCCAAATTCATTACTCAAAGTACCAATGACACTGCTGAAGCAGTTTCTGGTGCTTCACTTTTTGAGATATTGAAGCGATCTTCAATGCAGTCCAATGACTTCAATCAGGACACCATGGTTGGCCTAACTCAAACTGTATTTGCTGCTTTTAAAATTCCAAAGAAACCGATAAAGATTGAAGGAAGGACATAGAACAAATTAAAGAGTTCTACAGCATTCTCACTGTTGGAAGAATTCTTTGCGCATTAGGTTTTTTAATGGTGAGATTCTCTAGTTCAGATTATTGTTAAGTTTTGCTTTGCCAATTTTCAAGTTCTAGATGCTGAACCAATTGAAACATGGCTCCTTTTATGAGGCCAAGCCTGATATAATCTTAGAAGAACTTGAATTTACTGATTGCCTTGAGATATAAATGTATATTCTATATCAAAAGGCTAGATTTGCTTTCTTGACATGGTGCTTGTATTCCTCGGAGAAGGAAGATAAGCAAATTCTGAAATTCTATTTGATTTGAAGTTCTTTATCTTTGAATGGATTCAAAATCAATGTGCAGGAAATTTTGCTTTCATAGGTTTTTGATATTTTAACGAGGGAAACTAAAACAAAGGAGATCATACATGTTTGGTTTTGTAAGTAGTATGTCATTATTATTGTTGGCAATTCCAAGCAGTTCGACAGGTTGCAAGTTCTAATAAGGCTGTCAAGCATGCTGGGATTCAGGATGACTAAAGATAGGGGGTTTCAATAGCAACTTGGATTGCAGCCTCCGTGGTTGTAATAGGTAGGGACTCCTAATCTAGCTGTATTGGCTTAAAATAAGCTACAAATTGGCTATTGCTTCAAAAAGTTTGTTTGTTTGGCATATTTTTCATTTTTTTTTTTTGACTTTTTTAGTACTTTTTTAAGCAACTTAAGTTGGCTTTTTGACAAAAAATTGATATGACAAACAACTTGAAGTTGTTTTTATAAGTAAAATGGATTTATAAGCTCTTCCAAATGAGGCAAATTGTAAATGAAACTTATACTTCGGGTTAGTTTAGGTTAAGAATTCACTTTTATTTATTTATTATTATTATTTTAAAATTTTTTTTACATTCCTTACTATCATCTTTTAACATTTAAATGTTTTTAAAGAGCCGTAGAGTTAGTTTGACATTTTTTTTTCAATTACCAACAGCTAAAACTAAACCCAAAGTGGGAAAAGAAAATTGAGCGGGATTTGGCCACTTGACTGGTTAAAAAATTTTAAAAAATTAAAATGTCAACAAAAAATTAAAGTCACTGAAAAAAAAAAACATTTTAGTAATTTATGATTTTTGATACAATAAGCAAAGTCATTTATCAAATGAGTATTGTTATTAGTATCTTATCAATTATTTTGGATCTCTCATATTTTAGTTTTTTTATTTTTTTATTTTTTATTTTTATTTTTTTTTAACTTCAAATGAAATTACTATAAACGACATTAAAAATTTTGAGACACCTTAGCTTACAATTAAGCCCATACACTCATTACATCATCAATAGGGATGGCAATTTGAAATCGGCCCGACGGGGACCCGACCCCGATTGGAACGTTTTTTTCTTGAAAAATACCCCCGACGGGCCGGGGATGGTATTTAAAAATAAATCCCCGACCATTTTCGGGCCAGGGACGGTGATCTGTTTTACAACCTCGTCCCCGGCCTTGGTCCCGGCCCCGTACCCACTTCCTCGATGTGAAATTACCATTCTACCACTGTGTATATATATATATATATGTTTTCTCACTCTCCTTTCTTATTTCAGGGTTAGAGACACTGTCTGAGACAAATATCTCACACTCGCACTCTCTCGCCTCCTTCTCTATGTCGCTCGGTCGCCTCTTCTACTCCGCCGCTCTGTCGTTCCCTGTTTCGTCGCCTCCTCCTTACCGTTGTCGCCTCTTCCTCCGTCACCCCCTCATTCGGCAGATCTGAACAGATCCCCGTCGCCTCCTCCTCCTTCTCCGTCGTTTCCTCCTCCGACAGATCTGGGCAGATCTCGTCGCCTCTTCCTCCTCTTCCTCCGACAGATCTAATATTCGATGTTGATGATGTTGATATATATATATAGATGATTTTTTGATTCTTGTTGTTGATATATATATATATATATATTGATGTTGATATATACATATATATATTTGATGATGTCTATATATCCGGCGGATCTGATGATGTTGATATATACATATATATATATATATATATATTTTTTGATTTAATTCTTGTCAATAATCTTTGATGTTGATTTTGATTCTTGTTAATATATAGACTATAGTTGTTGAAATAATCTGTCTGTTTGTTTTTGTTGATGTTGATGATGATGAGATGAAATAGATTTCTCGATCTAAATCTCTGGTTTTTTTTTTTTTGTAGCCGGGGAATTTTCTGGTTCGGGGAAACCCGATCCCCGTTAGGGGACGGGACGGGGATGGTGATAGGTTCCCCGTCAAGGATCGGAGTCAAAGACGGGAAAACTTTTATTATCGGGGATCGGGGACGGGGAGTGTGATCCCCGACCCTTCTGAACATATGACCGAAATTTGAGAACACAAGTCCAAATATTGTTTATTTGTTTAGTAATAGGCAACCGAACAATTCTTATTTGTTCAGGAACAAATAACCAAAGGAGCAGCAGAAGAAGACAAATAGAGGAAGTCGGACCACCATTGGGTAGTCAATCGGCCAGTTGACTAGGGGGTCGAGTCAGGTTGAAATCCTGCCCAGTTTTGCTCACACAAAGAGCATACAAGTACAGTGAGACCATGGATGAATCACAGAAAATCAACCAGAGAAGCATGAAAGTGGATCGTGTTATGTGTGTAAAAAGAGGTTATCGGCCTTGCGTGAGTGCTCATTGCATGACCTTCCCCTCTCGTACCCAAGTTCCCGAGCCGAGGCAACTTTGGTGATGACGGACACGTGGCCTTAGGCACGAGTCAGGGTTTCTTAAATTCTCCCAAAATAAAATATTTAGGTGGCGACTCTGTATCTGGCAAAGCAGTCCATGTTTGACACTTCTTTAAAAAAATCAATTTTACAAAACGATTTGCCGGATTTAGACTCTTTGGTGATTTATCAATCTCGTATTGCACTTTGCGAGATTAGATTCAGAACCGTGACATTTGAGTTCGAACTGTAGTAGCTTAGAACCACAATTCGCGCCCTTGCGCGCGGAGCGGAGTTCTCGGGCGGTCTACAGTGAGCCCTTGATCAAACTTGATCACCATTGTGTTGAGATTGCTTGAGGTCCTATTAGAGCTCTAGAAGAGGATATTGGCTTGGTTTGACTTGCCTTTGTTGCCTAAATAGCATCTTGTCTTCAAGAGGTAGAACACTTGTATTTTAAGCCTAATTTAAATACTTGTTTGGCCATCTTTACATGCTGTTTTGAGGTTGGTTTTAACCTCTAAAAATCTTTGTTTTCATGGACTAAAATAGTGGTTTGAGGTTTGATTGGAGTTAGGGGTGGTCCACCCTTCTTGTAGCTTGCTTGTTAAGTTGTTGTGCCATCTTTCAATGCTTTCTAAAACAACTTTTTTGGCTCTTTTAACCACTAAATTTCAGGGGATTTTCAGTGGTAAAAACATTGTTTTGAGGTCCAAAATGGGAGGGGGTAGCCTCCCCTCCTGGTGTCTTGTTTGTAAGTGAATATAGCTTAACATGTGAGCATGTTTTTCTAGCTTTTTATGACTTGATCTCAGCATGTTTTTCCAATTATTTTGGCATGTTTTAGCTTTTTTTTTTTGGCTGGTTTGGTCACTTGAGGCTTGCTTTGTATTCATGTAGTGCAATTGTGCTTAATAGTCTAGTTTATGCTATGTGTTGGCTTTTCATTCTAGCCTTTTTTAGCTTACTTTAAGCATGTTTTAGAACTCCTTTTAAGCTGTTTTAGGATTGTTTTGAAGTGTTTGTACCTTTTTGAGCTTTGTGTTGCATGCCTATAGTGTAGTGATCTTCACTAGTTTGGTGTTTTTGGCTTTTGAACATGTTGTGCATGAGTTGCTTGCATGTTGTAGTATCATTTTGTATATCATTTCAGCATTGAAATATCTGCAACCTCCCTCATTTCTTCACTTTTTCATTTTCTTTGAGGGTTGGTTAGCCTTAAGGTTGTGTTTAAGCTTGAGATTGAGACTTGTGCTTAATGGTTTTAATCCTCTTTTGAGGGTTTCTACTAACCAACAACATGATCTCTCTCATGTCTTAAATCATACTTTGCTTGACCCCTCTCTCATTAGAGGACACTCACCTTGGACTAACCGGTTAAAGAATGGATCGGTAATTAAAATGTGTAAATAAAACATGACAAGTAAAACTTGAGCAAGTTAAGTATGTGGTGTTTGCATTGCATGTGTTCAATCGGACATTATATTGAACACAAGGTAGATTAGAGCATTTCATACTCAAAGTGATGAAATGAGCCAATCTCCTTTGTCTCCATTGCCTTTGATCATCCATGACAAAGTAGTGGTTCAGAGTCTTGTTTTTGTGCATTTATTGAAATTGTGCAACTTGGATTTTTGGCCATCATGCATTGAAAATGCTTGATTGGTGGTTTTGGATCCAAGAGTGCCACTCCTTCGATGTTTTAAGATGATAACGAGGGGGACAGTACAAACATACCCTTGGAAAACCCTCAATTTTTCTCTGTTTGTGCTCTGTTGTAGTGTGCTGGCTTAAAGCACCAGTGGCCGGCATTGGCTCATTGGTGGTTGGTAGTGGCTCACCCTTGGTTGGCAGAGGCACATTTTTGGCCGGTAGGGGGCTGACAGAAAGCATTCATGGTCGGCAGGCCATTGGTGCAATCCTCAGCATTGAATTGATAAGTTGGAGCAGAAGGTCCTGAAGTGTAGTCAACCCTGCAAACAGAGCCTCTCAAGAGCAAACTGAAAGGCTTTTCGGGGTAAAAGCTGAGTGCATGCATCCTACATTTCCTAAAGCAGAGCTGTGGTAGCATACATTTGTATTGTAATTTAATTAACTAGTTGCTAATTAGTTAAGTGTTGTAATAATTAAGTAGCTTAGTTTAGCTATTTCTTTATATTGTTTTGCAATTAATTAGCTAAGTTAGTTAATCAGTTGTTTTGTAATAATTAACTTAGCTTAGTGTAGCTTAGCTGATTCATTCGGACCCTCCTTCAAGAGGGCGCAATGTTGTAATATGTGTACATGTGTGTGTGCATGTCTTCCAACCCCACGTCTTTCTCTCTTTTATTTACTCGCTTTTGATGGTTAGATTAGGGACATTTTCAATTAGCATACCTTATGTTTGCATGTTTGCATCATTCATTTGTCTTGCATGCATTGAGGCTCGGCACATCATTCAAACTGCATCGTATTTCATCTTCTTTGAATATGTGTTTCAAAGCATGTTGTTATCAAATTGTATCATATGCCATATTAGTAGCCGAGCCTATTAATCTCATATTGCATGTGTTGCATTAGGCATCTTGTATAGTTAGGATCATGCATTTTTCTAGCTAGCTTTTGTTTTGGCTTGGAGTACTCGGTAAGCT